GCTGTTCCAGCCTCAGAGGTAGGCTGTGCCCTGGGATGGGGTAACTGCTGGGTCTGGATAGGTTGGCAAAGGAGGGCTGTGGACATGAGCAGGAGGGTGGCTTGAGGCCTGTTTCAGGCCCAAGAGGAGTGTGGCTGTTCAACACAGCTGCGTGACATTGTGACTAAACACCATGTCCGACAATAGTCATTCATGTCGTTAATTTAGATGCTACTAAATTGTTAACTATTTCAGTATCATTTCATTATTATTATTATTATTATTATTATTATTATTTTGCAGAGATGAGGTCTTGCTATGTTGCCCAGGCTGGTCTTGAACTCCTGGGCTCAAGTGATCCTCCTGCCTCAGCCTCCCAAAGTGCTGGGATTACAGGCATGAGCCACTGTGCCTGGCCCTTTTTTTTTTCTTCAGATGATGTCTCACTATATTGCCCAGGCTGGTCTGGAACCTCTGGGTTCAAGTGATCCTCCCACTTTAGCCTCCCAAAATGCTGCAATTACAGGTGTGGGCCACCGCACCTGGCCTATAGCAATTTTCATGTCAGACAAAATAGATTTTTTGGTGAAATACAACATGAGGGGTTATAAGGGATGTTACATACTGGTAAAGGGAGGAAAAGATCAAGAAGGCAAAAAACCTAAACATATATGCACCTAACAATGGACCTCAAAACACATAAAGCAACAATTGACAAAAACAGATAAATTGATAATTGTAGTTTAAGAACTAATATTTTCCTCTCAGAAGAATTAACATTACAGTAATTTAATTCTCTGACCAGAATGTAAAAATATTAGAAATCAGTAACAGACAAAAAAATAAAATTCCACAAATCTAGAAACTTAAGGAAAAATTCCATTTAAGTTAAAGCAAAATGAGTTGAATTGTAAGTCCTGCTAGGGAAGGACAAGGGAACCATGGGGATGCCAAGATTTAGGAGACACGGTAAAAGCAAAGCAGCGCTTGGGGGAATATGCATTTCTTCGGCTGCACTGATCAGAAAACAAGACAGATTTCAGATTTGAAGAAGGCATCACGAAGCTAGCACTCCTCCACTATCCTTGTAAACCATCCAAAAGCAAAAAAAAAAAATAATAATAATGAAAAGCAAAAATGCAAACTTCATTTTCATTAAAACTAAGAGCTAGAAATGGTGATGGTGGAGGGGGGCTACCACAGGCTGCAGGAATTTGGCAAGGGCCGTGTTGAAGACACACAGATGCCTCGTTAAAGACCAGAAAGAGCAGCGAGGGCACTTCTCAGAGGCGAGGGCAGCCCTGAGGGGAGGACCTAATTCCTTTTTCAGGAGTAGGAACACGGGCGGCAGCAAGTGCTTCCCTGACCTTATCCTGTTCCTAGAAGAGAGGAGGGAGAGTGAGCCAGGAACAGAACAGGCCGTATCTGCAAAGTGCAGTATATGTGGGGAAAGGGAAGAGAGAAGCTGTATTAGCTGTTAAAAGCCTGACAGGTGCAGACTTATACTTAAAGCTAAAATCAACAACAAAACTCTGCTAGATTGGAAAATGGCTCTGGCTTCATTTTCCATACAAACTTTTTCAAATAGCTAGTCAAGTAAAAATTTACCTGTTTTTTTTTTTTTTTTTTTTTTTTTTGAGACAGAGTCTCGCTCTGTCGCCCAGGCTGGAGTGCAGTGGCCAGATCTCAGCTCACTGCAAGCTCCGTCTGCCGGGTTCACGCCATTCTCCTGCCTCAGCCTCCCAAGTAGCTGGGACTACAGACGCCCGCCACCACGCCCGGCTAGTCTTTTTTTTTTTATTTTTTAGTAGAGACGGGGTTTCACCGTGTTAGCCAGGATGGTCTCGATCTCCTGACCTCGTGATCCGCCCATCTCGGCCTCCCTAAGTGCTGGGATTACAGGCTTGAGCCACCGCGCCCGGCCAAATTTACCTGTTTTAAAGATGAGGCCAGGCACAGTGGCTCATGCCTGTAATATCAGCACTTTGAGAGGGTAACATGAGAGGATCGCTTGAGCCCAGGAGTTCAAGACCAGCCTGGGCAACATAGCGAGGCCTTGTCTCTACAAAAAACTAAAACAATCTTAGCTGAGCGTGGTGGTGTGTGCCTGTGGTCCCAGCTACTTGGGAGGCTGAGGTGGGAGAATCGCTCAAGCCCAAGAGGTCGAGGCTGCAGTGAGCCGAGATTGCGGCACTGCACTTCAGCCTGGGTGACAGAATGAGACACTGCCTCTAAAAAGAAAAATAAAAAACAATGAGGGGGGAGCCAAGAAACGAAAGAGCTCCAAGAGGAAAGGAGAAAGGAAACAAGCTAATGAACACGAACAGTCTCCAGAAGAACTTTCCACTGAGTTGATGAAAATTCGGACAACATGTTTTGTTGTAAATTAAAAACGCGAGGAGGCAGTGCCCCTAAGAATCCTGAGCCCAAAGAGCCAGAGAGTGCAGGTGGGAGGGTCAGGAAGACAGAGCGGGACGCGGCTGTGTGGAAGACAGAGAGAAACGCACCACAGTCGTGATGCCGGAACTGAAGCACACGGGGAACAGCAGCCAGCCACACAACCCCATTCCTTCCTAAGGCAGAAGGGAAGCTGCATCAATCCCAAGAACACTTACAATAGCGTTTGTGGGGAGGGGCTGGCGGAACCAGACTCAGACAAGCCAAGTCTAAAAAGTATACAAAAATAGGCCGGGCATGGTGACTCACACCTGCAATCTCAGCACTTTGGGAGGCTGAGGCAGAGGATCGCTTGAGTCCAGGAATTTGAGATCAGCCTGGGCAACAAAGGGAGACACCATCTCTACTAAAAAAATTTTTTTTTTTTTTTTGAGGCAGTCTCATTCCCTCACCCAGACTGGAAAGAGGTGGTGCAATCCCAGCTCCCTGCAACCTCCACCTCCCAGGTTCAAGCGATTCTCATGCCTCAGCCCCCCAGGTAGCTGGGATTACAGGCATGCACCACCAAGCCCAGCGAATTTTTGTATTTTTAGTAGAGGCAGGGTTTCACCATGTTGGCCAGGCTGGTCTTGAACTCCTGACCTCAACTGATCCATCTGCCTCGGCCTCCCAAAGTGCTGGGATTACAGGCATGAGCCACTGCCTCCAGCCCTCTCTCTACTAAATTTAAAAAGAAAGAAAAAAGAAAAAACAAATACATGCAAATAACCAAGAAAATTCTGAGAGAGAAGGGTAAAGAGGAGATCCTAGATCAGCCAGACAGGTAAAAGGACCAGGAAGTGACACTGATTCCGACCCAATGGAACTGCCTGTGAACAGACTGATTGTGGCTGAACGAACCGTCCGGATACAGCCCCAAACGCACATGGAACATTTAGCATCATGACAAAGGCGGGAGTCCAAATACTCAGGAAGCATGAGCAATGGAAAACTGGGAGCCACTGCCATTGGGGGTTAATAAGAAGGGATTCTGGCTGGGAGCGGTGGCTCACTCCTGTAATCCCAGCACTCTGGGAGGCCGAGGCGGGCGGATCACAAGGTCAGGAGTTTGAGACCAGCCAGGCCAACATGGTGAAACCCCATCTCTACTAAAAATACAAAATTAGCCTGGAGCAGTGGCAGGTGCCTGTAGCTCCAGCTACTTGGGAGGCTGAGGCAGGAGAATCACTTGAACTCGGGAGGCGGAGGTTGCAGTGAGCCGAGATCACACCATTATACTCCAGCCTGGGCAACAAGAGCAAAACTCTGTCTCAAAGGGAAAAAAAAAACAAAAAACAGAAAAGATAAAAAACAAGGACATTAAATTACATCAAAATAAAAAATATGAACATAAAAAAACACCACACGAAACATTTAAAAATATGAAGAACTGGGAGAAAACATTTGCACTGCTATCACCAAAAAGGCCGAATTTCTCTCACATATAACGAGCTGCTACAAATCAGTAAGACAGACGACAATCTAATATACAGAGGGGCAGAGAACTGAAGAACAGGAAAAGGAAGTAACTCCTAAACACACACGAAGAGGCACGACCTCCTAACAGAGGCGCTGATTCCAACCCTGCCTGCCACCGGCAAAAGCTCCGTGTGGCCCCACGACTCTCAGACGCTGCTGCTGGGGGCAGCCTCCGGGTGGGCAGTGGAGGCTGAGGCGATGGTGTCCACCACACGTGGTGTGCAGGCAGCCTCGACTAAGCAAGCCGGGGCACTTACATGTGTATTTTCACACACTGCAGCCTGTAAGGTTTCTATTCTAACAGTATCTGTGATGGCAAAGGACTGGAAATAGCCTACAATGCGCATGAAGGAGAGAATGCTTAAATGAATGCGGCACGTCCTCATGATGGAAGACAGAAGCTGCAAGGTAAGAAGGGGACGCCCTCCACGCAGGCACACAGGACAGACGCGTGCTCCCGCCCCAACACATTGCACGTCCCACCACTCTAGCTGCTTCGAAGCAGCATCTGTCTCTCTCCACCCTTCTTCCTACGTCATGGACCCATGCAGTCCCCACAAGGTGCACCCTTCAAATAGACCTTCCTGAAAACATCCTGAGACCATTCGCAGGAGCTGGCACTGTGACCTGCTGAGTTTGCCAGGCCTGTGACTTAGGTGCACAGCAGAGTCTCAGGGCGACGATGTCTGTGCAGCAAAGCAGGATGAGGACAAGGATGCGGCGTGACGCTTGTCTGGCCCCCGAGGCTGAGCATCACTGGGGTTGGCCTGACTCTTCCCCGGGAGCCGGGCTGTCTAAAGTATACCAACGCCTGCGCGTCTCACCTAGAACGCAGACGTTCCATTCTATGTCAGCATGCACCCGGGTGTGCAGTGCTGCGCTAGGAGGTGGCATGGTTTCTGCCCTACAGGGCTTTGCACCATAACCTGGGAAACACTCAGGTGCCAAATGAGAGGTAAGGAGACTCCGTGCATTACTCAACCAAAGTGCAGGGATTTCAGGGTGTGGGAGGCATGCAGGGTGCTGACTCTCCACATGCCCCTCGGAGAGGGTGGCCCCCACCAGCTGCCAGCTGTGGGCAGCTCCTGGGGAGGGCAGTCTCCTACCTGGAGTTGAGTCACCCTGGGAGGTGAGGCCAGAAGGGCTGGATCCCAGGTCTAGCAACCTCCAAGTGTCCTGGAGGGCGCCACTGGCAAGGGAGGAGGAGCTGTGGGATTGGCGGCCATGCTCCTCAGGGCGCTTGGGAGCCTGGGGTGGCTTTGGGGACCTGCCTTCTTTCTGCCGAGGTGATTTACAGGTCACTGTGTGGATGCTGCGTTGTGTCTAGAAAAGACATTATCATCTTGAAAGCCACCCTCCCCAACCCAGAGGAAGCCACAGGACTCCCCCAGCCACTCCCCTGGAAGCAGTAAGGAGACAGTGGGCCTGGCTCAAAGGCCCAGGCAGATGCTCCCAGGACCACCCAGGAGAGGCAGCTGCAGACAGGGGTGCATCTGGGGAGTGAGTCTCAGCGCTGGGAATGCCGAGTGTGAGCAGGGCCTGAATCTCAGTGCTCATCTCAACAGACGACAAAACACGTCTAGGGCAGAGGCTGTCCCGTTTCGATGGGGAATGAGTTGAAATGCAGGGCAGATACCCTGAGGGGCACAGCAACGAACGGCCAACGTGGGCCCCGTGTGCTTTAGGGGTCCTGGGGCCCTCCCAACACCTTTACTACCCTTGTGGGACCACCCAGCAAACGCTCTGCAGCTCACCCTGCCATTGCAAGCAGCCCCTGGCCATGGCACAAAGGCAGGTGCAGAGCGAAGGCCCCGCCGAGAGGCCCAGAGGGCCCAGACCCCAGCTTCCCTGCCGGCCACACCCCATGCAGCCGCACTGGCACAGGCACTGCCACTCTCACCTTCGGGCCTCGCAGGGCATCAAATCTGCTGCCCACCTGTGCTGGGCGGGGCCGGTGCTTTCCCAAGGGTCCAGAAGGACACTCCTCCTCGGCACTCTTGGCGTCCTGCCATGGGGATTTACACGAGAGGACTCTGGTATTCACATTCACTGATGGTGTGTGTCCGTGAGTCTTCCCACAAGATTGGGAAGGAATGCCTCCCCACATTTCTGGTATTAAAGACTCACATCATTTGGTGACAGCCTAGACTGAAGGGACCTGTTTCCCAGACAGGATGAATGGAGCAGGCTTCCCCAATCATTCATTCCCAGGAGCCTCCTCTGCAAGGCCAGGGCAGCCTGTGCATGGCCTGCCTGGGGTGAGAGCCCCCTGGCCCAAGATGGGCACAAGTGGCCCCCAGTGATACCGCCTGGCTGATTCTGCTGCTTCTTTTTGTTTTGAGATGGAGTCTCACTCTGTCACCCAGACTAGAGTGCAGTGGCGCGATCTCAGCTCACTGCAACCTCCACCTCCTGGGTTCAGCGATTGTCCTGCCTCAGCCTCCCAAGTAGGTGGGATGACAGGCGCCTGCCACCACGTTTGGCTAGTTTTTGTATTTTTAGTAAAGATGGGGTTTCACCATGTTGGTCAGGCTGGTCTTGAACTCCTGACCTCAGGTGATCTGCCCGTCTCAGCCTCCCAAAGTGCTGGGATCACTGATGTGAGCCACCATGCCCGGCCACTTATTTTCTGGGGGTAGGGGGGGCGGAGAGACAGAGTCTCACTCTGTCACCCAGGCTGGAGTGCAATGGCACCATCTCGGCTCACTGCAGCCTCTGCCTCCCGGGTTTAAGTGATTCTCCTGGCCCAGCTTCCTGAGTAGCTGGGATTACAGGCACCTGCCACCACGCCTGGCTAATTTTTTGTATTTTTGGTAGAGATGAGGGTTTGTCATGTTGCCCAGGCTGGTCTCGAACTCCTGACTTCATGTGATCCATCTGTCTTGGCCTCCCAAAGTGCTGGGATTACAGGTGCGAGCCACTGGGCCCAAACATCGGCCACATTTTTTTAAAAGAAAAATAAATTTAGACCAGGTGTGTTAGCTCATGCCTGTAATCCCAGCACTTTGGGAGGCCGAGACAGGTGGATTACTTGAAGTCAGGAGTTCGAGACCAGCTTGGTCAATACGGCAAAACCTCGTCTCTACAAAAATACAAAAATTAACTGTGTGTGGTGGTGTGTGCCTGTAGTCCCAGCTGCTCAGAAGGCTGAGGCAGGAGAATCACTTAAACCTGGGAGGCAGAGGTTGCAGTGAGCTGAGATGGTGCCATTGCACTCCAGCCTGGGTGACAGAGTGAGACTCCATCTCATAATGAATAAATAAATAAAATAAATACAGGCCGGGCCTGGTAGCTCATGCCTGTAATCCCAGCATTTGGGAGGCAGAGGTGGGCAAATTGCTTCAGTCCAGGAGTTCGAGACCAGCCTGAGTGACACAGTGAAACCCTGTCTCTATTAAAAGAAAAAAAAAAAGCCAGGCGTGGTGGTGCGCACCTGTAGTCCCAGCTACTCGGGAGGCTGAGGTGGAAAGATCACTTGAGCCTGGGAGATGGAAATTGCAATAAGCCGAGATTGTGCCACTGCACTCCAGCCTGGGCGACAGAGCAAGACCCTGTCTCAAATATAAATAAATAAATTTTAAAAAGAAATAAAAAAGGAAACAAAAAGGGTCTTGGCTCCATAGAGGTTTCTTTTCTCAGTTTTAAGAGTTATTTCTCACGCCTGTCATCCCAGCACTTTGGGAGGCTGAGGCAGGAGGGTCACTTGAGTTCAGGAATTCTAGGCCAGCCTAGGCAACATGGCGAAAACCTATCTCTATAAAAAATACAAAAATTAAGGCCGGGCGTGGGGGCGGGTGCCTGTAGTCCCAGCTACTTGGGAGGCTGAGGCAGGAGAATTGCTTGAACCTGGGAGGCAGAGGTTGCAGTGAGCCGAAATTGTGCCACTACACTCCAGCCTTGGGTGACAGAGCGAGACTCCGTCTCAAAAAAAAAAAAAAAAAAAAGAAAAAAAAAAGGGAATAAGAAAGAATAGCCAAGAAAATTTTGTAAAGGAACAGAAAGAAATAAGGTCAAGCTTGCTCTAAGAGAGATTAAAATATGTCACAAAGCCACAGTGTTTAAAGCAGTATAGCACCATTTCAGGAACAGACAACTCATTGGAACTGTGTAGAAAACCCCAAAATCGATGCAGAAGCTGAATTTCTCAAGGCTGCAGCATCAGACAGATCCACAGTCTACAAGACACTGACGGATTTTTCAAAAAGACACAGAAAGGCGGAGGGAGTGCTCCGGGCTAAAGGCTAAAAACACAAGAGCCAGATGCAGCAGGAATTCTGGACGCTGAGGTTACAGAAAACCAGCGAGGAACACACGTAAACCACCCACAGCGAGGAACACACGTAAATCACCCACCAGAAAGACAGAAATACAAATGCCAATAATATGATTAAAAGCAATTTTAATGCCACTAAGGACATAAGAAACGTCGTCTTGTGTTTTTTGGTAGAGAGACAGCGTCTCACTGTGTTGGCTCCGGCTGGTCTTGATCTCCGGGCTCAACTAGTCCTCTCACCTCAGCCTTCTTGAGTCTGGGGTTACGAGGTGTGCGCCGCCACACACGGGGTAATTATTATTTTATTTTTTATTTTTCTGTAGAGACAGTCTTGCTTTTGTGGTTTTTTTTTGAGACGGAAGTCTTGGCCCCTGGGTCATCCAAGGCTGGAGTGTGGCAGTTGGTTGCCAATCATCGGCTCCCCACTGCAGCCTCTTGCCTCCGGGTTCAAGAGCGATTCTCCTGGCCTCAGCCTTCCCTGAAGTAGCTGGGATTACAAGGGCCCTGCCACCACGCCGTGCTAATTTTTTGTATTTTTTAGTAGAAATGGGGTTTTCACCATGTGGTTCCAGGCTGTTCTCCAAAACTTCTTGACCGTCATGATCCAACCACACTCAGCCTTCCCAAAGTGCTGGGAATTATGGGCATTGAGCCACCCCACCCACAGCCCATCTTCGCTATCTTTTAAAGAAGATACAAGTTGTGGCTGGGGTGCACTGACTCATGCCCATGATCCCAGACTTTGAGAAGAGGCCGTTGGTGGGCAGACGGCTGAGCCCAGTGAGTCAAGACCAGCTTGGGTACATGGGAAAAACTCCATTTCTACCAAAAAAAAAAAAAAAAAAATTGAGCCTAGGGGGATAGATGGGCACCACCTGTGTCCCAGCTACTGGAGGGCTGAGGGGTGGAGGATCAATTGAGCCTAGGGAAGTCGAGGCTGCAGGGAGCCTGTGATGGCACCACAGCACTCTAGCCTGGGTGACAGAGCCACATTCCTGTCTCCAAAAAAAAAAAAAAAAAAGATAGAAGTTTTTGGTTTTTTTTTCACTATGCCCATACTGGTAGAAGATTTAAAAATGATACCCAGATATGTGAAAGTCTATAGTCAAAACATACACATGATACAACTTTATAATTAAAAAATAAAAAAAAACGGGGGCTGGGGGCAGAGGGCTCACACTTGTAATCCCAGCACTTTGGGAGGCAGAGGCAGGTAGATCACCTGAGGTTAGGGGTTTGAAACCAGCCTGGCCAACATGGTAAAACCCCATCTCTACTAAAAATACAAAAATTAGCCAGGCATGGTAGCATGCGCCTGTAATCCCAGCTACTCGGGAGGCTGAGGCAGGAGAATTGCTGGACCCCGGGAGGGGGAGATTGCAGTGAGCCAAGATTGCACCATTGCACTCCAGCCTGGGCAACAGAGCAAGACTCCAACTCAAAAAACAAACAAACAAACAAACTCCCCAAAACAAAGCCCAGCAGAAAACACACTGAAATGTTACTGGTAACTATGTCTGGATGCTGAAAATTGGAGGCCTTTCATATTGTGTTTATCGTAATTTGAAGTTTCTGTAATGAAAACACAACACAATTAGGGAAATATTTTTAAAATGCATGTCTTAGATGAAAGAGTGTTACCTGAGCTGTAAAATGGGGCTGCACCTGTCTCAAAGGTGGGCTGCGATCCAAAGGCCTCCTGGGCTCCTCGCCTGGCTTCCGGGCCTCGGGGGCAGGAGGGAGGGCATGGTGCGGCGGCCGCCCTGGGAATGGGATGGGGACAGGGTTTGTTGTCTGTACATCACTTCTGGATTCCTCTTGTGCTGAGTGCACTCAGAAAGAACAGCATGTTCCTTTTCGAAACCAACGTAACTTCCATTTCACAGAGAACTTAGGGAGGGGCGGACAACAGTGAACTGTGACACACAGCATTTCGGCAGAGCTCTTGCACACACAATGCCACGCCCCTGCCACACACAGCCCTTGCTGTCCTCACAGCGGGGGCAGCAAGCACATTTGCGAACAGAAGCACAGAGACAGCCTTTCTGTGGCAGGCACAAGTAAGAAGCAAAAGCTTGCCAGGTGCGGTGGCTCACGTCTGTAATCCCAGCATTTTGGGAGGCTGAGGTGGGTTGATCACCTGAGGCCAGGAGTTTGAGATCAGCCTGGCCAACACGGTGAAACCCTGTCTCTACTAAAAATACAAAAATTAGCTGGGCGTGGTGGTGGGCACCTGTAATCCCAGCTACTCAGGAGGCTGAGGCAGGACAATCGCTTGAACCGGGGAGGCAGAGGTTGCAGTGAGCCGAGATCGCACCACTGCACTCCAGCCTGGGTGACTCCATCTCAAAAAGCAAACAAACAAACAAAAAGAAGTAAAAGCTTATAACAACTTAAAAATGATGGTTCTACTCAAAGCTTCGGCATGCTAGAAATGACCCCACATCAAACGAGATCCTTTCATCAATTCCATTCCTGTTATGTAAAGATCTGCTCCTTCTCTAAGCAGACACATCAGAAGACATAATTACTAAAATAACACTTCCCAGAATAACAAATCAGTTTCGTTAAACTCACTGAGGATTCCAACAAGGTTTTTGGAGGGTGTTTATAACTGTTGACATTTCATATATTGGAAATTGAAACAGATTTTTTTTTTTTTTTTTTTCTTTTTTTTTTGAGACGGAGTTTTTGCTCCTTGTTCCCAAGGTTAGAAGTGGTGTGGCACGGTCTCAAACGCCCCCACAAACCTTCCGCCTCTGGGTTCAAAGTGATTCTCCTGTCTCGGCCTCGCCGCCCCAGTAGGCCGATGACAGGCGTCGCGGCCACCCCGTCCTGGCTATTTTGTATTTTAGTAAAGAGCTGGGGTTTTTTCACCACGCCCATGTTGGCCCAGCACCTGGTCTCGAAAATTTCCCTGACCTCCAGGTGAGTCCCCCTGCCTCGGCCTCAACCAAAAGTTGCTTGGGATTCAGCATGGCCGTCGAGGCCATGTGCCTGGCCAAAAACA